GGCAGGTTTAAAGTACAAACCTCGATCATTTGCACACTTCACTAATACTCAGGATATCAGATATCATGATGCTGAGATAGGATCATTTTATTTTTAGACATGATTGGGGTATTTTAAAATCGCAGATTATTTAAAAGACCTACTAATTTGACTTTAGATTATGTCAAATATATTCACCGTGACATACCTAGCTACGATCAAGGAAGTGGTCCACGAGTTCAGCGTTAGAAACAGTGAAACGATTGAAACACCCTAATGTGTCAGCAAACAGATTATATACCCAGTAACATTCGAAGTGTTACACCCAGAAAAAATAATTTATTCAGCTTGTTTTATTGGCAACATACGACTATAATTAAAGCATGTTGTGGCAACAATGTCAACGATTTATCTATGTTTTTTTTTACCTTTGTTAAAATATTGTCTCTTACTTTTGGTAACGAAAACAGTTTCTGAGAGCTGAGTAGTACAGATATTTTTAGTTATTGCTCTTTCATTTACCAGAGTTAAGCATAACAAAACTATTTATATTCCGCCAAAATAAAAATTTTGGAAAATCTATTTCCACTGACTTTAAGATATCTAAAGCAGTGATACCCTATCATCAGGAGGGGTCATATGACATGACATGCCGATTTGAGAAGTATTGTGATGAATAATAACACATGCTAACAAACAATAAAATGCCAACGTTTGATAACATTTTATTAACTGTTGTCATACATTAAGAAACAATGCACTGTTTGGACCATAATTTTAGCCCGAAATGTATTCATGTACTTATAATTTATATAAATATAGTTATTGTTTATACTCTTTGATTCAGATATATTCAAAGCGATATTAAGAAAATACTTCATAGACATTCAAAGATCGTAGTTATGAGGTTTTGTATAAGAAACAGTAACTAGAAATCATCAAAATATTGTGCCTGTAACAATGTAGGAAATAATGTTGCAACAGCCACTGATACCTAAATAAATCTACATCTAATCTGATGTAATTTTATCTTAAGAACCTGGTCTTATGGTTATAAGTATATTTTAGATTTGAGATATGCGTGCATTGTTTCAAAGATAGATATTCTAATTATTTTAAGTGTCTGTTCCTGCTTTTGTTTTTGTAAAAGCTGATTGACAGGTTAAAAGTACAAATCTCTATGATTTGCACACTTCACAAATACTCATGATGCTAAAATAGGAAGATTTTATTTTTGGACCTGATGGAGTTTTTTAAAATCGCAGATTATTTAAAAGGCCTATTAATTTAACTTTAGATTATGTCAAATATATTCAGCGTGCTTTACCTAGCATTTCTCTTAGGAGTTATATAAAAAAATATTCAGTAACCTTTGAGTTGAGCAACTCTTTGCAGATTATTAGACGCCTACAAATTCGTTTTCCAAGTTCTCTCACAATCATGCTACAACATTGCTTCTAAGGTGTGTATTTTTGGCACCAGTGAGTCTATTGATATTCAGAAGTTATTTTTCTATTGTATTCCAACTATCCCATTTTAACCAACTATTGATTAAAACATATTTAATTCTTGGCGAGTTTTAAATATAGTCATTTAGATTAGCAATTATATCGATTAATTAATTACAATTGTATGCAGACGCTGTCCTAATTACTTTATGCAAAACATAACAAAAGCGCCGGCATCACTAGGAAGTACGAAGTGTACCAGAATACTTGACGATGAGTATTTTAAACGTCACAAAACGATTATTATTATTTTGATTATTTGTTGTGACGTTTTGAACTACTGGAAAATTGTGCATCGTGTTCTATATACATTTTGTGATATTCGGTGTTTATTAATTTATGTCACACTCTAAACCAGATAGGTTAGACAATGTGATTCAATTACAGCTTTCTATTCAACTCAAAAATGCACTTTTGGGCAAACCTGACGTAAATAAACTCGAAACGACAATACACTTCCAGTTAACAATAATTACGGTTAACCTGCAATTGAAAACTGGGCCTAACAAGTACGTCCAAAAATACAATACCTTAACACGTTTTGAATGATAACCTACTGCTTTTATGGTGCTGCTATCAAAAGTTGTTTATCTATAAATTTGTTAATTGACGTCTAGAGCGTACTTATCGTCGATGCTTGAAGTGTACGAAATGCGATGTGGACGATTTCATGTAAAAATATATAAAATCCAGCTTATTATTATAACTTCATGGTCTCAACGCGCACAATGATAAAATTGACTCATGCTGCAAATATTATAGACATAACATGAAAGTGTATGCCTCATCAGTTTGAGGATTTGCGGAAATATAAACATTTAGGAATGCTTTGTTACATTAAATTTTAATGATTATGTTTTATTCAGAGATATCTGGGAAATTTTTATCGAATTCGATGACAAAGAGATAATACTGATTAGGTGTAATTTGAGGTCTTTGTAACCACGTTTGTAGGACTTTTGAAGATACTAGATAGTATAATTATCATCATGCACTTCTAAATAAAAATAACATCAAGTCTATTTCCTGGCGATAACCAAACCAATTATTACCCCGTGTATCGCGAATTTTGTGCTATATATTTTTTACCTGACCTTTTAATTGCCATATCGATCCATTATTAAATAACTAAATATTCATTGTGTTGCGAATTTCTGTATGAAAATATACTAAGTGAGATATAAATCCGAACACCCAGTTTAAATGGTTTTATTTTAATAAAAGTTGGTGAATGTATTTATCTTACTGTAAATAACAAGTGAAAAAATTTTCAGCCTTATCAGTTGAACATTCCGGTTTTTATACTGTTTTTTTTTTTTAAATTCACTAACGCTCTAAAAATGAATATTTCAGCCGCAGTAAAGAATCAACGTTGGCGGATTTTGGTTCTTGACATCCTTTACGATCGGTTACGATGCCTAGAGTACGGAGACCTGTACTATTTCGTCAACTTAGTGAGTTTGATAGGGGCCGTATAGTGGGACTTCGGGAAGCTGGACTTTCTTTTCGGGCAATTGCAGTTAGAGTGCAAAGAAGTGTAGACACTGTGGTTAGCTGTTGTCAGGCATGGCTTCGAGAAGGCCGTACGCAAAGAGCAAGGGGCACTGGACGCCGCCGTAGAACAACAGACCGTGAAGATCGCCGCCTAAGATTATTGGCCTTAAGGGACCGTTTCTCCACTACCAGATCCATTGCAAATGAATGGTTTAACTCGAGAACACCGACGTAATCGCCTTGAGTGGTGCAGACAACGGTCACTCTGGGATCAGAAATGGAACAGTATTGTCTTTAGTGACGAGTCTCGATTTTGTTTAGGCATGCACGATGGTCGTGCCAAGGTTAGAAGGCGACGTGGTGAAAGGAGGAATCCACAGTTTTTTGTTGAAAGACATGTTCATCACACTGTTGGAGTTATGGTTTGGGGTGCTATAGCATATGGTTCCAGGTCACCTTTAATATTCATCAGAGGTAACATGAACGCGCAGCGTTATAATTACGAAGTTCTAGAACCCCATCTTTTACCCTAACTTGACACCCTGGCAGATCCAACTTTCCAACAAGATAATGCCCGACCACATGTTGCAAGAGTCACAACAGACTTCTTTCAACATAATGATGTCACATTGTTACCATGGCCACCAAGATCTCCCGACGTATCCCCAATTGAGCACGTGTGGGATATGATGGGTAGGAGATTGCGCAATTTGCAACGTCCTCCTCAGACTCTAGAAGCACTTCGAGAGGAGTTGGTGGTTGCCTGGAATGAGATACCACAGGAGGACATTGACCACCTGATCAGAAGCATGCCTAGGCGCGTTGGAGAATGCGTAGCACATCAGGGTGCATCCACACATTATTAAAGGTCAAAGGGCTTTAAAGCAGTGCAATCATTTTGAAATTTTTATCATTTACTTATTATGCTTCATTAAGTACTTATACAAAATTTTATTAAAATAAAACCATTTAAACTGGGTGTTCGGATTTATATGTCACTTAGTATACATATTTTCCACGGCTAAATCGAATGAACCTGGTACGTAAACTGAACTCAGACTACTCTAAATGTTACATAAAACAGTTATTTAACAAATACGTGACTGATAAGGTTATACAAATATTATTACCAAGTTTGACAATAAACATACGCTTTTTAGGTATTTTAGAAGCACGTCGATCATTTAAGGATCATAAAGGGAAATTTGCACAGTTGTACCCCTTTATCCACAAATAACTTATTTGAAGTAACAACATCTAAAACTCAAATTTTACTTTCTATATATGACAACAATTCTCTTTATTCCAACAGCGAAAAGGGGTGAAGTAGTTTTTGGTTAAAAGTTGTCCCCTTTGACAAATCTTATGACGTGTCTCGGTGTGTTTTCTTTTAATCAGTGGTTTTCGATAAATCCCTGTATCTAAGAATTACGAATTCGTTTGCCGAAATAAATAATACTGGTTAAGTACCGCTTATGTTTGTTTAAAGAAGCTTAAAATCAACAGAATGATATCATTATTGATATCGCATCCTTGACAATAAGTGTCAAGGACAGCACACATCCTTTTAACATGAGACATGTCCGATATGATATGTTGGTTCTACCCCTAGCGCTGTAAAAATTTGCATTCTCATTGGCACAACAAAATTGATTTTAGATAATAAATCCGGGCAATCAAGTTTATTATGGAGCACTGGCAGTATTGCCATCGCTAAAATTTTCCAACACTCCATATTTCAAATATAAAGGATCTCTGTTATCAGGACAAAATAAGTCTCCAGTCAGTTTGACTATCCATCTATCTTTCCGAGTTTTTAAATTTGCGTAACCTGACAAAGTAGTATTTGTATATTTTGTTATGTAAGTTTTTCAGATTCCAACTTATTTCCTAAAACAAACAAGATCGAATAGATGACTCAAGATGGCAAGCTCGCTTTATGCTGTGTATCTGTCTTTACCTTGCTTAGGATAGCAACGTTCTCAAATGTGAATTGGAATCATTCATTTTTTTACTCACCAAAGAAGGATCTCTTAGCAAGTCCTCGGTATGGACATTGATTCCCAATATTTCGATCATTTTGGCATACTGCGCCGCAGACCAGATGGACCAGCACCTGGGATCTCTGTACCTGGGATAAGTCTCACTCTCTCCGACTGTTAGGAACATCACAGGATACTTGTTTTGCTTTACTCGAATCACCTACATAAAAAAGAAACCATGAAATAGTGCCTAGATAGTAAATCGACCAATACACAAGTTGCAACAAGAGCGGCTACAAATAATCCTTACAAGAAAGATCACGGATCATTTGAATGAAAGAATCTGTATTCTCCATTTTCTCTTCATTGTCTGAAATCGTATGTACCACTCAGCGTCGATTTTTTATCGGAATCTGGAAAAATGGATGTGTTGGAGTCTGTCAGAAGATTCTTTCGTCTTAAAATACATGAGCCACCTCGCCAACTAGCAGAGTGGTGCTATACATTTTCGGTCAAAGAAATAAATACTTTAGCCAACAAGTTGCTCCGAACGAGGTATTTATACAACTGTCGTTTAGTAACTGTTACAGGCTATACAACTGCAACAATATCACAAATTTGAAAGCACAAAATTGCTGTGCTCGGCATACATTTGTTGCTTACTATATATATATATATAGGTGAAAAATTAAAGCTTCCGCCTTTTGTTGAGTACTTCGACAAAATTTAAGCAAAGAGGACTCTTTATACTTTTTTAATTCTCTCTAGCTTTCAATGGACTTTGCCATCATCATCAGGAGCTGCAATTACAATGATAACAGTTTTTAACTTGTTCTTGTCATATTTTATATAATTTTGACCACTGTACCATCTATCCAGCTCTCACCATGTTACTGGACGTTTCCCTCATCCTATACGTAAACAACAATTAGCAACATCCTCATATACTACTGTAAGTTGAGTCAATTTAAATTCATTTTACACTTTTGTTGCTACTGTTATCATTGTAATTGCAGCTCCTGATGATGATGGCAAAGTCCATTGAAAGCTAGAGAGAATTAAAAAAGTATAAAAAGTCCTCTTTGCTTAAATTTTGTCAAGGTACCCAACAAAAGGCGGAAGCTTTAATTTTTCACCTAACTGGTCTAGACGACAATGACCACGTCTCAAAAAATATATATATATATATATATATCTCTTTTATATTGTATTTTCAGAGTATCCATTACGGTAGAATAACAGCTAATTATCTAGTAATATTTCAAAATCCCCCATAACGACAAAGGACACAATTCTGACGGATCCGTCAACGCCAGAGATAGAGTCGTATTTTGTTTTGTTTTTCTGTACGCTAAAGATGCATTTTGTACCTGCTAACAACTCTTTTATTTAGAAAAGTTCATTTGCACAAAGATGTCACTTGCTGATCAGGAGACGTCAAAACGTGACGTAAACTAGTTAGGTCAATTGCCATAACCAATATTTTTCTTCTTTAAGACAACACACCAGAGCCGCTATCCAACTTTTCCAAAATGCAAATAAAAAAATGCGGGGAAAAATATTACAGATCATGCGTGGACGCATGTTGACCTTGACCTTATGACACAGTTTTGACACATGTCACGCATTTGTCAAAAAAATAGTACGATTAACAAATATTCTGTAATGGCAACACACATGCTAGGATACAGTACTTTCAGAATTACCTCACAAATGTCCGGATTAAAACAGCTGAAGATGATACGTCTTTCACCTCCATACCTTAGCACCACGTCCAAAATTGTATCCAGGTACAAGTTCATGTCTGTCGGATGATACAGTTCGTATGTGCCTGAAAAACAAATTATTATTTTTCCCGTGCACTGAAAACATTTTCACATAAAGACAAGTAGTCTAGCGGAAACTTAGATAAAAAACAAAGGACAATAGTAGGTATGTCCGCAATGAAGGAACATGAGCAGAGATAGAAGGATTGGTAACCCGAGCGACGTACGTTTCTGAAAATGGATGTACATCGAAAGCACCGAAGTGAAAACATATCCCCATCACATCTGAATCATTTGTGAAGTTTTCTGCTCCTTATAATAAAACTCCTTTTGCTTTAAACTCTGTATTTTACTAATTCAGTGATTCAACGACCTGCCAAAGCCGTTGCATGAAATTGATGTCTCATTTTCAGAACACAATAGAAAAAACTGTTTCGCGCTACGAACAACCGGATGACTCGAGCGAGTTCAAACTTGCACTGAAGACGGATCACATATTCCCCTGCCTCCCATCCGAACCCGGCGCCTCTGTAGCCAGATCGAACGCTCCGTTACCAGTCTCATCACTTAATTTACAGACCTCGTATCTTGAGCGCACTGAAAATAGATCCCGTTGTACTATTTATGCAAATGCACTACAATTTACGACAGATGAATACAAGGTTTCAGCGCCGGGGAACGGCCATGACCAACAAAAGTGAAAACTGCATTTCATTATTTCGCATTCAAGATCAAAAGTCCGATTATTAATGAATCCAGTGACTCTTGATTTACAGAACGAGTTATAGTGCATAAATTCAACGTTCAATGTTGTTTGTATACAACCAACTATATGCGTCACAGATGCAGTACGTGACATGAGGTGTTTGCCAATTTTGAGAAGCGTTTATTATTTTACTGTCAAGTGATTTATGGGGTATAGATATATCTTGGGTATAGCATACATGTTTGACTGTTTTTATATTACATGTTTTGGCTACGAGGAAAAAGCACCTGATAGTGACTAACAGCGACTGAAAAATTTAAAGAGCTAGGGGAGGGGTGCTCTTTCAGCTCCCAAGTTACACCAAACATCGATTATTTGATTAATTGAAACATTTTATAGAACTGATTTGATCGGAACCTTCGAGTTATTTAAAGTAAAGCTGGAATACTGAATCAAAAAATTTCACAACAACAAAAGTGCATCAATATGTTGCTGAGAAAAATACTTACCATATAAATGAAAATATAAAGGGTGACTAATATTGAATAGCTTTATTGATATTTTCAACTATACCAAATATTAACACTCATAATAAATGTCATATAGGTTTTATTTTTTTTCTCATCGAGGGAGGGAGTTGTAGAAATACGATGATAGTTGAGTCTATATTATAGATTAACTTTTGTATGGGTGGGTACTATTGTATAAGTTATCGATAGAATGATTAGAATTCATACATAATAGGAAGTGATTCTATTAATACCAGACAAAAAGGAACAAAGGGAACCATTGTAAAATGTACAGTACTCAAGAAAGATTAATTATTTTTTGGTTATTAATTTAAACTCGCCCACAAGGTGTGTGCCTTCTGTGACGGCTAGAATATTTATTTGCAAATATAATGTGTATTTTCAAAGTGTAACATGGGAGATAAATATATTGTTACTGGGAAAAAAATAATGAGTAGAAATGAGAAACATTCGAGTCCGTGGGCAGCCTGGGTTCGATAAATTAGATTTTCTGTTATTTCAAAACAGTTCCAAGCAAAAGTTTCTATACCTTTCAGTTGAAATATGTTAATTTTATAATGAAACTGTTACACTTTAATCCAAAAATTATAAAACAGGTATCTAGATAGCAGACCTAGATCAGATACTGTAGCACAGAACTACAGGGTTATCCAAATTAAGTGTCCACCATTAGTAACTTTGTTATTAGTGAAAATACAAAGTTGTTTGAATTAGCAAACTAGTAGCATTTTTAACGCTGGTAAAAATGAGAAACAAAAAAAAACAATTGAGAGTCGTTATTTTGATTTTTTCAGTAAAATAACATTTTTTTAAATGGAAACCCCTGTATATTATATTTTTTTCTGTTAAAGCATCAAATTTTAAACAAAAAAGCTTACAATAACTTTTCTCCTAGGTTACAAATTGTTGAAGTTATGACCTCCAATCTGAAACAATTAAATTGTATCGACAAACTTTATTTTCAACATCAACTTATAATCTTACAAAATACAATAAAAAATTTTTTTAAAGAAGATGCTCGAAAACACCACCTTGTTCTTCAATACATTTTTGGGCACGTTTTTCAACTGCTCGAACTGTCTTAAGTATGGTCCTACCATCTATCTGGGTTATCTTTTCCCTACCTGCAGTCTTTAACGCGTCAAGGATATCGTACCTTCGCTTGTAAATTTGGTTCTTTAAGTAACCCCACAAGAAGTAATCAAGTGGGTTTAGATCTGGTGATCTGGGAGGCCACTGTATTGGGCCATTTGTTCCTAGCCACTGATCATTAAAAGTAGTACTTAGAAAATGATAAGTACCTCTGGAGTTGTGGGCAGGTGCGCCATCTTGCTGAAAATGCAGATGATGTCTACTTATAAGATCCAATTCGTCTAAGAAATTAGTCAGAATTTCTGACATAAATTCCACATATCTTTCACCAGTTAGGGTTCCCTCATAAAAGAACGGGCCAACAATTTTTGAACCAATTATACCGCACCAAACGTTGAAACTGAAACGGACTTGTGGGCCTCTTGGATGTACTAACAAAAGATTTTCTCTTGACCAATAATGGTGGTTTTTTCTATTAAACATTCCAGAATTTGAAAAATTTGATCATCTGTCCATAAAAGGTAACGAAAGTTATTTACATTTTGGCGACAGAAGCTAAGATACCAATGGCAAAAAACAAGTCTTCTCTCTGGATCCCCTGCCAAAAGCGTTTGAACTGGTCGGTACTTATACGGAATAAATTTGTATTTTTTTAAAATCCTTTGAACAGTACCATAACTGAAATTAGAGTCCTTGAGAATATCTGCTATTGAATTCTCACGATAAGCTTCAAAATATCCAATAACTGCAATTTCCGTGGCCTCGCTTATTATGAATTCTTTTTTGCCCTTGTTTTAGCAAAAACATTTTCGTTGCCCCTAAATTTTCGATAAAGTCTCAGAAAATATCGTTCATACGGTTGAATGCGAGCGGGATATAATTCACTGTAGTATTCTCTTGCTCTCAAGGAGGATTTTCTGCACACTAAATAGCATTCTAACATATCACACTTTTCTTCATGGGAGAACATTTTTCTTTAAATTAATGACACAATAAAGCTTATAAACAAGTATTTACACTAATGTTTGACATTATTTGATTTTATCATTGTTTTCCAAAGCCTTCTAGTTGCGAGTATGTCCAGTTTAACAATTTGTCGCTTATCTTAATGCTATCAAATCGCGAACGCCATGTTGTTTTCATAGCCGTCTTAATATTATAATACTGCAAATAATTAAAAATATTTATCGTTATTTTGACTTTATTTTTGACTTTAGCGGAAAAGTCATTATGAACTTTTTTGTTTAAAATTTGATGCTTTAACAGAAAAAAATATAATATACAGGGGTTTCCATTTAAAAAAATGTTATTTTACTGAAAAAAATCAAAATAACGACTCTCAATTGTTTTTTTTTATTTCTCATTTTTACCAGCGTTAAAAATGCTACTAGTTTGCTAATTCAAACAACTTTGTATTTTCACTAATAACAAAGTTACTAATGGTGGACACTTAATTTGGATAACCCTGTATAGTGATGCTTGAGAAGACAGGAGAGCAGAAAATAGATGAGCACTCGAGTTAGCAACTTTCAATCACAACTGATAAGACCTATGAAGCTAACGTATGAATGAAGTATTTATTTAAAAATTAGAAACCAAAGATCCGAATATAATATTTATACAGGGTGTTTCAGTTTATTATTGCATAACTTTAAGATTCGATAGAACTTTTAAAATTAATGCATAAAGTCTATATAAACATGGGTCGAAAAATGCGTGGCTTCCGAAATACAGGGTGTTTAAATTTACTTTCTAAAATAGTTTTTTTTTAAATATTTCGAACAATATTTGATGTATAACAGTGAAAATTGGTATACAACTGTTTTTTGGTACGACAAAACAAACCATGGGCATAGTTTTACTGTAGCCGCTAGAGGGCGCTCTCTACTGTACCTGCAGTGTATTAAAATGACCGAAATTTTTTTCTTAGTGCAATTTTTTGCTTTTTGAATAAAAAAACTGATTCTTCGCACTTTTCAACATAAAAAAGCTCTCATGTGAATTTTCGTTTTTGAGATATTTCGATTTTTAAGGTTCGATGCATTTTTAATTATTTATGATAAAATAACGTTAAAAAGTCAGTATCTCGATAATTTTTACAAGTAGGCTGTGCCTGCAAGTATTTTTGAAATTGAAAGCAGAATAAGGTTAAACGTCAATTAGTTGACAGTTAGTTTTGTTGTCTGTTGAAACCTGAAACGTTTTTTTGCAATTGTGAATGCACGAAATTTAGTTTCTTTTACCTGTTTTTTTTTTGTAAGTTTTATAAACATTATTATTCTCCAATCAAGAGTTAGCGGATATTCATTTTGTGTATGGCTTTGTAAATGGAAACGTAGCAGAAGCAGCCAGAGAATACGCACCAAGATTTCCAAACAGACGACATCCAACTCGCACAGTATTTGTAAGAGTACATCGCCAAATAATTGAAAATGGTTTTGGAAATCTCCAAAGGGATCAAAACATAAATGTTCGTCAGCGCAGATTTACCCGTATGATTCTGCGTGAGTTTGATAGAGATCCGACCACAAGTCTTAGGATAGTTTCTGGTACCTTGGGAATTTCAGCAAGCCATGTTCACCGTGTTCTTAGAAATGACCATAGACCTGTGCATAAAGCAACCTGTGCAAGGACTACAGCCAGGGGACGGAGAACGAAGAATCACATTTTGTCAGTGGATTCTTGATAGGACTGATAATAATAGGGAGTTTTTAAGTAACGTTTTATGGAC